GGCTTGAGCAGGGCAAAATATAAGAGTTGCCTGTTTTGGGGGGGAGCCTGTGCCCTTCAGAGGGGCTTTTACAGAATTGTCAGAGTTGGGAGGGACCTCTAGAGCCCATCCAGCCCAACTCCCCGGCCAAAGCAGGGCTGCCCAGAGCACATCACTCAGGAGCATCTGGGTGGGGCTTGGAGATCTCCAGAGAAGGGGACTCCACACCCTCCCTGGGCAGCCTCTGCCAGGGCTCTGCCACCCTCACCCCAAAGAAGTTCTTCCTCACATTGGAGTGGAACTTCCCATGGTCCAGCTTGTGCCCGTTGCCCCTCATCCTGTCACTGGGAACCACTGGGAAGAGTCCGGCTCCATCCTCCTTCAACCCACCCTTTAGATCCTTGGAAGCATTAGTAAGGTCTCCCCTCAGCCTTCTCTTCTCCAGGCTCAAGAGCCCCAGCTCTCTCAGCCTTTCCTCATCAGGGAGATGCTCCAACCCCTCCATCATCTCTGTTGCCCTTCGCTGGACTCTCTCCAGCAGTTCCCTGTCTCTCTTGAACTGGGGAGCCCAGAACTGGACACAGGATTCCAGTTGTGGCCTCCCCAGTGCAGAGCAGAGGGGGAGAATGACCTCCCTCCACCTCCTGGCCACACTCTGCCCTCCGCAGCCCAGGATCCCATTGGCCTCTTGGCCACAAGGGCCCGTTGCTGGCCCATGCTTTTGCCCCCTCTCAAAGTGCTCCTGGGCTGGATGGGTGCTGGCGATGCGCCCTGACTCCCTCCCTCCCTCTCTCCACAGCTGGTGAAGTACTGGGAAGCGTTCCTGCCCGAAGCCAAGGCCATCTCTTAATTGGACCGAGCAAACGAGCGTACCTGAACTTTGCCTTTTTTTGTTGGGTTTTGTTTTGGTTTTTTTTTTATATACACTATACCTCTTCCTCTTTTACACGTGAATGAACCCTAGTTAAACACTCTGGAGCTGGTAGAGGTTTAACCCCCCCAGACAAGCAGCTTTGCAAGCCAGTAACTCTTCTAACTGTATATTTTTCATTTAGCAACATATATTTTCTTACTGAAGAGAAACTAGTTTCCTGCTTTCAGACCAGACCTGCGGCAGGGGGTTAACGATATATGTCAAATGTATATTTTTCAGGCTGGGTTTTAGGGCTCTAATGACTATCTTACTCCTGCAGTGCCATTAAAATTCTGTAATAAAACTTCTATCAGGGCAAACAGGCTCCGTCTGCTCGTGGGCTGGGCCGGGGGGGGGGTAACGGCCGCGTCCTGCCGATGCCGGGGGAGGCAGCGGAGCCTCCTGCCTTGTTGTGACTGGGGACAGGGGTGACCTTGGCCACCTGTCCTGCCTCCTGATTAAGCCTTGGCTTCCTTCCTTCCTCCCCCCGTGAGCCCGGGGGGGCTGTTTTTAGGATCTGAGCTCAGCGGGGCTGTGTGGTGCCCCCCCCACGGGGCTTTTCAGGGGGGAACCCAGCCCCTGAGAAGCCACCGTGGGACTTCTGGGGGGCTGGGATGCTCCTGCCCCCCATGGCCATGACTTCTTCAACTCCCCCCCACCCCCAGGAGTGCAGCTGGGGCTTTTGGTCAGAAGCAATACCCATTTCGTTTTTTTTAAATAAAAAAAAAAATACAAATGAAAAGGCACCATGCTTTTGCCCCCTCTCAAAGTGCTCCTGGGCTGGATGGGTGCTGGCGATGCGCCCTGACTCCCTCCCTCCCTCTCTCCACAGCTGGTGAAGTACTGGGAAGCGTTCCTGCCCGAAGCCAAGGCCATCTCTTAATTGGACCGAGCAAACGAGCGTACCTGAACTTTGCCTTTTTTTGTTGGGTTTTGTTTTGGTTTTTTTTTTATTATCACTATACCTCTTCCTCTTTTACACGTGAATGAACCCTAGTTAAACACTCTGGAGCTGGTAGAGGTTTAACCCCCCCAGACAAGCAGCTTTGCAAGCCAGTAACTCTTCTAACTGTATATTTTTCATTTAGCAACATATATTTTCTTACTGAAGAGAAACTAGTTTCCTGCTTTCAGACCAGACCTGCGGCAGGGGGTTAACGATATATGTCAAATGTATATTTTTCAGGCTGGGTTTTAGGGCTCTAATGACTATCTTACTCCTGCAGTGCCATTAAAATTCTGTAATAAAACTTCTATCAGGGCAAACAGGCTCCGTCTGCTCGTGGGCTGGGCCGGGGGGGGGGTAACGGCCGCGTCCTGCCGATGCCGGGGGAGGCAGCGGAGCCTCCTGCCTTGTTGTGACTGGGGACAGGGGTGACCTTGGCCACCTGTCCTGCCTCCTGATTAAGCCTTGGCTTCCTTCCTTCCTCCCCCCGTGAGCCCGGGGGGGCTGTTTTTAGGATCTGAGCTCAGCGGGGCTGTGTGGTGCCCCCCCCACGGGGCTTTTCAGGGGGGAACCCAGCCCCTGAGAAGCCACCGTGGGACTTCTGGGGGGCTGGGATGCTCCTGCCCCCCATGGCCATGACTTCTTCAACTCCCCCCCACCCCCAGGAGTGCAGCTGGGGCTTTTGGTCAGAAGCAATACCCATTTCGTTTTTTTTAAATAAAAAAAAAAATACAAATGAAAAGGCAGCTTGTGCTGACTTCCCACTTTCCTTTCCCCTTGTCCCTGCGGCCCCGGATCCCTGCGGTCCCTCCAGGCTCCAGCCCGCCCCCCCGCCCCCCCCCGCGGCTCTGGGTTTGGAGTCAGGGCTGCAGGACCCTCCGGTGGGGCGCTCCCGGGCGGGCTCCGGGGTCCCCTGGGTGCCCGGGGGCGGTGGGTGCCCCGGAGCGGGGCTGTCCCCGGTCCCGCAGCCGGCGGGAGGTGACAGGGACGCGGGGCCGCCCCCGCTCCCCCCCCGCCGGTGCCGGGGGCGGCAGAGGCGACGGGCCGTCACCATGATCGTCGTCTCCATCCCGGCGGCGGAGCCCGGGGGAGCCAGTGATGATCCCTGCCTGACCTGGGAAGGGGGCGGGGGTGAGTGGTCCTACTTTTCCCAAGGGAATAAGGGGTTGGAGGTCACTGCGGGTCCCCGGGGGTCCCAGCCGTTTGGGGGAGGGCGCAGCGCCTCTGCCATGGGAAGAGGGAGGGGTCCCTGCTCCGAGGGTCCCCTCTGAGCCCCGTGGGTGGCAGGTCCCTGTCTGTCCCGAGGTGCCCCCACCGCCCTGGGGATTGGTGGTCCCCAAGTTCCCCCGGGAGAGGGGGGGGGGGATCTCCCTCTGCCCCAGGGGTTGAAAGTCCCCCGGTGTCCCCGGGGAGTCCCTTGTGCCCCAGGGGGAGGAATTCTCTGTCAGGGCCACCCTCTGCCCTTGGAAGTGTGTCACTGTCCCGAGGGTCCCCTCTGGCTCCGGGGGAGTCCCCTGGCTCTCGCCTGCCCCTGGGTGTCCCCATCTCCTCTGGGGGGAGGGGTGTGTGATGGACCCTGCCTGCCCTGGGGGGCTGGTCCCACTTTCCCCAGGGGTTGGATGTCACTGCTGGTCCCCATCGGTCCCTGCCTGAGGGTGCCCTGACCTGCCCCAGGGGCTGGGGGGCTCTGCCTGTCCTCCCCATCCCAGGGGTCCCATCTGCCCCAAGGGAGGGGAGAAAGTCCCCACCTGCGCCAGGGGCTGGTGGTCCCTGTCTGCTCTGGGGGGTGAATGTCCCCCCCCTGCCCAGGAGGGAATGTGTCTCCGTCTGGTCCAGGGGCTGGAGGTCACCAAGTATCCCCAGGGACCCCACATGCCCCAGGAGGTCTCACCCTGTTGGGTGGGGGTGTGTCTCTGTTGGGGGGGCACTCTCTGACCTTGAAAATGGGGTGTTCCTTTACCCTCGGGGGTCCCCTCTGGCCCCAGAGGGGTGGGGAGGTCCTGTCCACCCTGGGGTGTCCCCATGTACCTTTGGGGATGATGATCCCTGTCTGTCCCAGGTAAGGATTGTCCCACTTTTCTCAGGCGGTTGGATGTCTCCACCGTCCCCAGGGATGGTCCCACCTGTTTGAAGGTGCCTCCATGTACCTCGGGGGGGGAAGGTCCCTAGTTCCCCCCCATGGATCCCTGCTGGGGATCTCTGATTTGGGGGACGACCCCACTGGGCTTTGGCGGGGAGGGGGGAGGAGGGTGTGTGTGTGTGTGTGTGTGTGTGAATCCCCTGTCTGCTCCTGGGTGCCCCTGCCTGTCCCTCTGGTTGGGTTGTCCACCCCCAAGCTGTAAACACCCCACTGCCCTCATCCACTCCTTCCCCAATGAAGAGCTCCACCTTCCCCAGGGGCTGGAGATCCTGCCCCAGGTCGGGGTGGCTCCATCTTCACATGCAGTTGTGGGGCTGTTCCAAAGCATCCATCAGTGTGTCCCCACATGCTCCAAGGAATGGAGGTCCCAGCACTTGTCCCAGAGGTTGAAGGGCTCTGTCTGCCCTGGGATGCTGCTGGGGACACCCTCTGGCCTTGAAAGGGGGGTGGTGGTGGCGGCCTCTGTCTGCTCCTGGGGTCCCATCTGCCCCCCCAGTGTGTGTCCCCACCTGCTCCAGGGCTGAATGTCCCTGTCTGCCTGGGGGGGGGATGTCCCTGAGGGTCCCCATCTGTCCTGGGGCAGGGGTTGTCCCCCCATCCCTGGTCCCCTGCCCCAGGTGCTGGAGGCCTCTGTCTACACCAGGGGGTACTGAGGCTGGAGGTCTCCGAATGTCCCCGGGGTCCCTGCCCGCCCTGGGGTGCCCCCACCTGCCCCGGGGGGGGTGGTGGTGGTAGTGGGGTGGGAGGTCGGGGTGTGGAGGGCCTGGAGGTCCCTGACTGTCCTCAGGGGGAGTCTCCATCTTCCTGGTTGGAGGGAGTTTGGGAGTGCGCGTGTGTGTGTGTGTGTGTGTGTGTGTGTGTCCCTCTGACCCAGGAGCTGGAGATCCCCAAGTGCCCTCCCCAGGGGGTGGAGGGTGGTGGGGATGGATGAGTGGGGCAAGGGAGGGAGAGGGTGGGATGGAGGCCTCTGCCTGCCCTGGGAAGAGGAGGCGGATGATGATGATGATGATGGTGGGTGCCCCATGGTGCAGGTGTTCCGGGTGGAGGTGCTGTGCAATGGCCGGCGGCACACGGTGGCGAAGCGCTACAGCGAGTTCCAGGCGCTGCACAAGCGGGTGAGACCCCCGGCACCGCGGGGAATGGGGGGGGACAGGGTGGACCAGCCTCCTCCTCCTCCTCCATGGTGCCCCCCGTGCTCTGCCCTAGATCAAGAAGACCTGCAAAGTGCCTGACTTCCCCCCGCGCCGTGTCCCCAACTGGATGCCCAAAGTGCTGGAGCAGCGCCGGCAGGGCCTGGAGCTCTACATCCGGGTAAGGCGCCGGCCAGCGCTGCCTTTGGGCAGGGTGGGATTTTTGGGGTGCTGACGCCCCCCCCCCTCCACCCTCCCATGGGGGTCCCCACAGGGTGTCCTGTACCACAACGAGGAGCTGCCCCAGGACGTGCTGGACTTCCTGAAGGTGCGGCGTTGCCAGCAGGACCCCAAGGCCACCAGCCCCCCGTGAGTAGAGGAGCTTATTCCAGCCCCTCACCCATGTGAAGGACCCCCCAAGACATGGGGCTGGGGACAGGCAGGGGGCTGGCACCCAAGCAGGTGACCCCGGGTGCTGATGTCCCCTCTCCTGTGGCAGCACCATCCCCCTGCCCTCCCAGCGGCCCGTTGTCGGCTTCTGCACCGACCCCTACGCACGGCCACCAGGCACCGGTAAGGGGTGGGACCCTGGGTGCTGCTCCCCAAAAGCCCCCAGAAACGTGGGGTTTTTCCCATTAAGGGGGCCTGGGAGGGAAACAAAAGCGCTCTGGGTCCTCCTTTTCCTCACAGACCTGCTGCCTGACACAGTCCTCAGCGGGGTGCTGCAGGGCCTCTACATCCCCCTGAGCTGCGTCCCCCCCTGGCCAGCACCCCCAGCCCCCAGCCCGCCGGGGTCCTGAGAGCCCACCCAGCGCCCGGGGGGGCGCAGGAAGGATCCCCACGGTAAGAACCACCTCCGTGGGGCAGCCGGAGCCGGGATGGGGCAGGAAGAGGGGCTGGGCTCCAGGCCAGCGCTGAGCACTCACTGCCACCCCAAGTGCCTCCGTTGGGAGGGGGTGGTTCCACCGTCCTCTCTGGGGGGGCTGGAGGGAGCCCTGGGGGGCTGAACCCCCCTGGAAAAACCCCTCGGGGTCCAGACTTTGGTGCAATAAATCACTCGGGTTTGACTGGCAAAACAACCCCCCGCGCCCTCTAATTGTGCAAAGCAACGGGCTGCGCTGGGCTTGAGGAAACGTGGCAGCAGGGGGTTGGAGGGTGGGGGGATGCTGGGACCTGCCCCCCTCCCCCAGCAGAAGAGGCAACTCTTTAAAAAACACATTGGTCACATTTATTGGTGCATGTGCTTCTTACAAAAGTGATGGGAAGAGGAGCCAGCGCCCTGTCCTGCCGGCCAGAAGGGTGCAGGGGGAGGCCGGGCAGCGGGGACACGGGGGGCTCTGCTGCTGCTCCCCCACCTCGGGGACAGCAGGGGAATGTGGGGAGGGGGGAGCGGGGCAGCCCCCAGCCCCCTCGCTGCGGAGCCCGGAGGGTGGGTTACTCTTTGGCGATGGCGAATGGCTTCTCCACCTCGATGGTGCCGCAGTCAGCGATGGCGACGTCCTTCAGGGGCTTGTCCCGGCTGTCTGTCTTGGTGTTCTCCACCTTCCTCACCACGTCCTGGGGACAGCAGAGGTGTGAGAGCAGGGCCAGCTCAGCACCATCCCCATCCCATAGACCTTTCTCCACAGCTGTCTGTCCCCAACCAGCACCTGCCCTGTCCCGCTGTCCCCCCGGGAACTGATCACCCCCTTACCATGCCCTCCAGCACTTTGCCAAACACCACGTGTTTGCCGTCCAGCCACGGCGTCTTCACCGTGGTGATGAAGAACTGGGAGCCGTTGGTGTCCTTGCCGGCGTTGGCCATGCTCACCCAGCCGGGGCCGTAGTGCTTCAGCTTGAAGTTCTCATCGGGGAAGCGGTCCCCGTAAATACTTTTTCCTAAAAGGGAGGAGGAAAAAAAAAAAAAAAAAAAAGGCCATGTTGCTCTCATGGAAACGTGGCAGGGTAGAGGTGACAACAGCAGCTCTCTCCACAGGCTGAGGCTGAAGGAGCACATGTAGAAGGGGGACAAACTACCAATCTCGCAGGGCTGCAGGGAACCATGAGCTACGAGCTACCAGCACGAGCTAAAAGCACCCCTCGAGCTGGGCAGGAGGGACCAGAGCAGGAGGCCATGCAAGAGTACACCTGATAAGAGCTTACAAGCCCAAATGCTGATATCGTCAACACTACTAATGTTTGCGAAGTGCTGGTGGAAGGTTTGAACCCTGCTGCTACTGGACTAAATGTGTCCTGGCAGCCAGGACATCTGGCAGAGGCACCAGCTGTGGCACAGGGATATTTTCTCAGCGAGGAGCTCAGGTCCTCCTGAGACAGACTCTCTCTGAGCTGTGTGCCCACTCAGGCGCACTCGTCCCCACGGCGGTACCCTGCTCCAGCTCCGCACTGGTCCCCGGGGGGAAGCTGGGCAGTGGGTTGGGAGCGTGGCTGCTGTCTTGCTGGCGCAGGACAAATACCTCCAGTGCCATCTCCACGGGTGAAGTCTCCTCCCTGGATCATGAAGTCCTTGATCACACGATGGAACTTGCTGCCCTTGAAGCCGAATCCTTTCTGGGGGTGGGGAGGGAGAAAACGGAATGAGGCAAGGGATGGGCTAGAGCTGCCTCTGTCCCAGGGGGCCAGGTGAGGCCCAGCCTGGCAGCCGCTAGCCCCTCACCTCTCCGGTGGCCAAAGCCACGAAGTTCTCCACTGTCTTGGGCACTGTCTTGCCGAAGAGCCCAATGACGACGCGACCCACATCCTCCTCACCGATCCGCAGGTCGAAGTATACCTTGGGGGGGTGGTGGTGGGGGTAAATTGGAGGGGGCCATCAGCAGAGCCAGCCTCACCCTGCACGTCTGACTCACCAGGCCTAAACTCAGTGGACCCCTCCCTGTCTGGGTCCCCCTCACCCCACCTGGGACTCTGTCACCCCAGGCCTCCCTCACCTCAGCTGGGGCCCCTACCCCATCTACACCCCCCTCATCCCAGCTGGATCTCCCTCACCCCAAACCGTCCCCTCGCCTCAGGTCTCCCTCCGATCCAAGCATCCCCCACCCTACCAGGACCCCCTCACCCCAGCACCCCTCATTCCAGGGTCCCTTCGCCCCATCTGGGCCTCCCTCGACCCATTTCCCCCCCCAGTTGGGTCTCCCCTCACCTCAGGGCCCTCTCACACCCCACCCCCCTCTCCATCCGTACCCTCTCACCCCAGGCTTCCCTCATC